GGGATTTTGATTAAAGATCTTAATAATAGAATTATATATTTCTTGAAATTAATATTGTTGAATAAGGAAGTTATTATAAACCTGGTTGAGTTGATTTTTTTGATGATTAATCGGGTTATGTATTCAATATTGAATTATTCTTTAATAATTAATTAAACTATATATTTAATATAATATTCTTCAGTGATGGCTTCAAGTGTAACAAGAAGATTTCGAAGAAAACGCCAAGCAATAGAATCGGTTTCTTTTATACTAAATAGATTAATCAATAGGGTTAGATTTTGGAGAAGAGTACTGGAAGTGAGTATATTAATAATATAAGATTGGTTTTGGAATATTTAACAAATATATATAATCAAGGTTTTATATATCTTAATTTCAGAAATAGATATATTAATATTAATAATAAATATACCAAGGTTAATATTACTGAGTATAGCTAATAAATTTATAGAATCGGCTATTGTAGTAATTCAAGTCGAAGTTGGAATCAAAATTATCAAATTAAAATCATTGTATATAAGTAAATATAATCAAAGCTGGACTGTTATTAACAATAAAGCCTTTTGAAAGATCGAATATATTATCACAGGGTTGGTATAGATTCTGGTAGATATTAGATAAGATGTATAATATTCGATAAGAAAAGGAGGCGTGTGAAGCGATGTTGATTATATAATAGGTGGATACCTAAGGCATTTATCTGAGTTAACTAAGAATGGGTAGTGGACATGTGATAGGTGTAGGTAGGAACGGGTAGTGAACCCGTGATACTTAATAACTTTTTATATAAAATCACTAAAAATCTGAAAAGTTGTAACCAAGCTAATAACTATATAAAGAATCTATAGTTAAAATTTTATTCAATTAAATTCTTTATTAAGAAAGTTATAAAAATCGAAAATCACTGTTTTTGGTATAAAAAGGTGGTCCGAAAGGGGGGGTGGTCCGAAAGTAGGGTAGTTGACTTATGATCTTAGTGATATTCCAACAAATTTGATTTGATTTGATTTGATTTATTTATATTTATATTTGTATTTATATTCAGTTTAATTCAGATTGGTACTCTATAATACTATTCGAGTATACTACTTATACTTATAGTAAATACTCTATGATTTTCCAACGCCCCTTTCCTTAACCGATATATCATATAATCGCAGGGTATACCAATCTATCCCAATCCCTACATTCCCTCCACTCCATTCCCAACATTCCACCCCGTAGTAAAAATCCAATCTAAGTCTATTGATCTGATCTGATCTGAACCCGTTTAAAATTCAAACCCATGCTTATCTGTCGACAACTCTTAGACTGGCTGACATTTACTCCCACCACCCCTCCCACACCAGACAAAGAAAAAAGAAACCTCTACATTTAAATAAACTCCAGTCTCTCTCTCTCTCTCTCTGACTACCTCAATAGACTCAACCTAAGCAACCCATCCGCAGCTTTCCTCGATAATTCTGGACTTCTTCCCCTCTCATTACTCTCCATTTCCATTTCCGACTGCGCAAACATCAACGGTGGATTAGCCAATCCCAATTTCTGACTTTCCGACATCGGTTTTTTGTGCTCGGACAACACATTTTCTTTTCCCTTCCCCCTCATCACTTCTTGCCTTCTCCGCGCCACTTCTTTTTCCATGTTAATTTCCGTATCCCTTGTTTTCTCCTTGGTATTGGTATTGATATTGGTAGTCATCGGATGTGCATGACCCGATGCAGAACCCGAACCGGAATTTGAGCCTAAAGAAGTACAAGAAATGGCCGAATCTCTTCTCGACAATGAGTCTCTTCCGGATATCGGAGGACTGGAAGGAATATCTACATTCTTACCCCTATCCTTTTCCCTCTCATCTCGAACAAAAGCACGTCCGTTCCTACTTGAAGGACTCGGACGCTGTATATTAATAGCCGGAACCAATGCTCTTGTACAAGCTTTCATGATCGGAGCACCAGGAAGCGGTGTCCTGCTGCTTATACTGATACCCACAGAAGGGTTTGTGCGAAGAGGTGCCGAAGAAAGAAGTTTCGGGGTCGTAGAGCGGATTTCTAGACGTGAAAGAGGAAGGTCGATTTGGTTTGTTTTTACTTTGTAATTTGCAAGGGAAAGACGAAGTCGTAGTGCCTGAGATTGCTATAGAGATGAATTAGTTCATGTATTGCTTGTAAAAATTTGGGCTTGGACTAGGGCTAGGTTAATACGAACCTGACGAATTTCATCTCGGGATAGAGGTTCAAAAGTCGAGGTACGAAAGCTTTTCGGGGTGATGACATTGGTGGATGTGAAAACTGAATCGTCGGGTGTGCTTGTTTCAGTTACTTGGGAATTATCGGTGGTGATAGCGGTATCTTCTGCGTCTCCTGTGGAGGGGAAGGAGGAAGATGGAGATGCGGTGACGGAGGAGGAGGATTTTATTTGGGAGGCGCGCCGAAGAACTTTATGAGAGGTCTATAGATACATGTCAGTAAATGAGATCCATCAATGTCGATTTCTAATACATACCCTGGGTGTATTTTCATTCCCATAAACATCGCCATATACTCTTGGGCAACCCTCTTTCCATCCCGTTTCGTCTTGAATTGCTTTATTGCATGGAAATAGATTCTGTCTCGGAGAGGTGACAGATATGGCAACTTGCAGCGACGACTTGATGGATGCTTGATGCGTTTCTGTTTTTGCCTTCTTGCCAGTTTCTCGTCGAGCTTCAGCCTCTGATACTTCAGCAACGTCAACATTAGCAAGTAGATATCTCTTTTTACCAGCCAGTCGATTCGGTTCAGCATTCGACAGATGTACTGAGGTGGTGGTTCTGGTATCTCCGGATTCTTTTTCCATGTTCTGAGACGATATCCTTTCTTCCAATTTCCCCTCTTCAAGACATCCACCAACCTGTAAATCTGTATCGGTCGCCTCACGATTCTCCCGCCGAATTTCTGTTGTCGAATTTCCCACCACCTCTGACAAGTTAAGGGTAGTTCTAGTTGATTCAATGTCGTATGAGGCCTGCTGTATCTTGGCCATAGAGGACGCATAATGGATTTCGAGGGCGGATGTATTGATATTGATATTGATATCCCCCAAGACGCGACGCGTAGTTGATGTTTTTGGTGAAGCCATTGTGAAAGGTGAGAGTGATGACTTTAAAGTAAAGTAAACAATTGAGGAAAGAGTGAATTGTAAAAGTTAGAATATTGGAAAGCGCGTTCGTGGTTGTATAGTAGTTTCCTGAGCGTGTCGTTAGCCCAATATTCACCATAACCAATACTCGAGTACTTTTGGTAGCACTCACTCTCAAGTCACTTACAGATAAAACTCATTTCCAATTCTCGAGAAGAAGTATAATGAATATAACAAAACACTTTGATCCTAAACTTAAACTTTAAGTAAATCAAAAGTAAATCAAGTAAACTCTTTCAATTGCTCTTTCTTGTAATCGCGTCTAAGATAATGCGGGATCTCCAAGGACGCGATTCTTGGGAACTTTTATCATAATTCTGCCACCGCCTGACAGACCGCCTTGAAAAAAGAGGGGCTAACCGAACTCAAATTGACCTATACATACCTACTATAGATCACAGACTTATGAGTATCAAACGAGAGAGTTAATCACTATATATATATATTATATATCCATCTACTCCATACTATCTATACATATATTTAAATAAAATTATAAACATTAAACAACTCACTCTTAATTAAAGAGTAGACATATAACATCATAAACATCAAAACAAATCACTATCTCTACCCGTTATAACTATATATCGCATATCGTTGTATTGTTGTATTGTATACATATCTACCATCTACTATCTACATATATATACTCGGTACTCGAGTAGATAAGATATTCATTTATTTATTCATTTATTCATTTATTCATTTATTCATTTATTCATTCTCATTCTTCTATTACGAAAACCCAATGTTATACAGCAGATATAAAACTTACTACTGTATAACTAAAACAACAGTACATACAAATCCAATCAGATTCAAAAACAAATGCGCCTAGACTTCGCTTTTCACTCCCCACTTATCTATCTCGGAAGTAAAACAAGAAAATCGAAAACCAGAGTTGTCCGGCTAACCAAAGAAATGTAATATATAATTTGTTCAAGAAGGACATTATAATCATGTAATAATCAAAAGCATATCCCCGCATAGGAAAAACATCTTTATCCCGTGGATGAACGCCCTGCTAAATCAAAAATACTAGGTGATTATCCTATCCTTTCCTCTAGTAGCCTTGTTCCAAGACGCCGTGCTTTTCATTGGTATATCGTCCCAATTGACTTTCCAAAATATCCTGTGTTTTCCTTCCCATCACAGAAACGCCTTGCAAGAAGCAGATCCCTCATGCTCCACTAGATATCCATAGAATAGTGATCATCTACGGTGAACTGGAACGGTTGATCAAAATTGGTTTGGACGTCTAGATCATCCCATGTCTGTGAAGGGTTGGTAAACCCTAAATCATCAAACATGGTCAAGTCATCTCCGGGATTTGCGTTGTAATTGCGTGTGTTATGGTCCCCAAGGGCTTCGATATCGCTTGGTCCAAAAGGAACCCACGAATCATCAAATAGGTCCAAGGCAATGTCCAAATTCACCCCTTCAGAGATGTCACTAGGGGGCTCTGACACGCCATCCTTACTCGACTCTGGTGTGTCATTGGGTGTAATAGACCGGTAGACATTGACATCAGAGATAGCCCCACCAGCACCACCTTCGTATGGTTGGAAAGCTCGGATGAGTTCGTTAGGATCGACAGTAGCGTTCGTCCAAGCATATGAAATGACTTCTTGAGCTAGTTGATTTGAGTCTTGCTTACTGATGTCCTTCTGAGACTTGGGTGTATCCGTGACAGAGTTAGACTGAGTTTTAGCTTTGCCCTGTAACGTGCTAAACTGTCTATTTGTTGAACTTTGACGATTCATAGGTGTAGCAGCTGAAGCGAAGGGAGTAATAGTCTCAACCTTCGGTGTTTGGCCTTGATTGGAGCCAGTAGCAACCATTTTAGTACCCATAGATGGTGTAGTTGCATCCGCAGTCATTATGACTGATTTAATTGATTGATCTTGAGAATCCAGACCTAGCACTGGACGGAGATAATTCTCGGCAAACTTCTGTGGATTTTGCAGTGGTGCCATATGCTCCGCATGAGTGTGACGGGCGAGACCCTCTTCACTTTCGAAACCAATATTTTGACTTTCGCATATCTCATCATTACATGGCCAAGTTGGTTTGGGCACAATCTTCAGCTCGGGAATTTGCTGACGCTTGACTTCGGGTGAGGGAACTTTGGTGACTTGGGGCGAGGAGGTGGAACCCGGAGTGCCATGTCCTTGAATTGGTGTTCCATTTGGCTTCTGCTTCTTGCGTGCAGGAATGCGAAGATCCTCTTGCGTGACAGCAGGCGGCTTTCCGTTGTATCTAGGCTGGCCATGAGGGGATGAAGTTCCAAATGAAAACGGTGGCTGGGATGACGTAGGGGCTGCTGGCGGGTGAGAGCTGCGGCTGTTTGATTTTTGGTGCATGTTGTTGAGCTGCTGCTGCTGTTGCTGTAAATTGGCAGCATTAAGAGGCACTGCTTCCGATGATTGACCATTTGATACAGCAGATGGGTTGGCTGATGCACCTTGGGCATCTGACGCTCCACCGGGTTTTTTTACCGTGGGATATTTACCCTTAACATCCATGACCATCCCAGTGAACAGAACTCTAGCTTGCTCTACGTCAGCGGGCCTCATTGAGAAAGTATCTTTGAGCTCCTTCAGCTCCTTGGGATCTTTAAATTGCTTGGTCAAGCGAAGTCGCTAAGGCATGTTAGCGATATTCATCGAATCTAGCTTTAAATGGATTTGAGTACTTACTGCGCGGAGAAAGAGTTTAACTCGTGTATCGTCACGAGTCATCTGATACCACTTGAATACAGCTCGTGTTACATTTGTCATGTGGCCTACAATATCTGTCAAAAGCTGCACCATGGTTTTCTTCGTTTCCGCATCCATGGGTATGTCAGGGAGAGGATTCTCCGTGGCAGCTTTGTCTTCTTCAGCCGCGAATTCTTTGATCTTCTTATTACACATATCCATCTCGGGGCTGCTTACGCTGGCCTGCTGTCTCGCGCTCAACGTTTGACGTAGCATGGCCTCATAGCTTTTTCTTTTCTCTGGATCAAGTTTCGCTATCTGGTCTGGTGTGAGCCGGGATGGAACTCTCTGTTGTGATACGAGCGGTGGGCGCTGTTGTCCATTGGGATTGGGAACCTCCACGACATCATCGCTACTAGCCCGTTTTAAGTTATTCTTAGGTGCTTGAGAAGGCGACGAGCTCTGTGCGGTTGCTGACTTATTATTTGGTGGAGGCCGAGGGCGGTTTGCGGGCATGGTTGGACCTGCCGGTTCTGGTGCTGAAGTTGCTGGCTTTTGTGGCTGCATCTGCCCGGGTGGTTGCTGAGGAGTAGTCATCTGGTTTGAGTTCGGTAATCCAGGTTGCGCATTTTGAGGTAGCTGCTGACCATTCATGTGCGCCATATTGGCCATATGGGCTTGGCGTTGTTGGGCTGCTTGAATATTGTTGAGTTGACTTCGCATTAGGAACGCGCGAATATATTCATCACTGGCGTTCGCAAATTTACCAGTGGGATGATTACGAACGTTCAAAATTTCCTGGGGCGAGATTTGTCGCATAACGCCAGGGCCCAAATTGATTCCATTTGGAATTTGAATGGGATTCTGAACCATAGGGGCAACAGGGGCTGACATTCTTGGGGGTACAATAGGCATAGGATTCTGGCCTCCGACAGGATTAGGTGGGCCCGCTGGGTTGAGCTGCTGTTGTGCGGCCTGTCTTTGCTTAAGCTGCATGAAGTGCATTTTTTGCAAGCTTTTCACGGTGTCGAGTGACGTCGGTGGTATGGTGGGAGTCGAGCCAATCCATTGTTTCAACTGGCCCCACTTCTTGACTTCTGGAGGAATTCCTTTGACCATAATGGGGTGATTGATACAATTTTGAGGGATTTCCATGTTATCCATCTGCATGGCAATCTGTGCCATTTGTTGTTGTAGGACCATTTGCTGTGGCTGTGTCAAGCCGGCCAACAACGTGGGAGGAGGTCGTTGTCCAGGGTTACTCATCATCCATTGGCTTATAGCATGTTGCTGCTGTGCAAATTGTGCAGACTGTGGGCCAGGTTGTCCTGGACGGAGTTGATTATTGTTTCCTTGCATCGGCATCTGTGATCCTTGTTGCATTTGACTAGGCTGCTGAGCTTGCCAATTTTTGGCGAACTCATTCATCTTTTCAGGTGGCAAAGACGCGAACTGTCTTCGTTGATCTGAACCCATATCTCGTAACATTGCGGGATTAAAGCCGTTCATAGCGCTAGCAAACATTTGCCTTTGGTTGCCTGGCGGAAAACGTGGATCAAGTGGCTGACCAAATTGTGGGTTATGATTGATTCCTCCGGCTTCGACATGGCCCATTTGCTGAGATGGTGTCCTCAAAGGGGTGTTGAGCGTATTCATGGCGGGGCTCTGCTGTGGAGGCATCGGACCGGGACCCATTCCGCTAGGTTGACCTTGTAGCCCCATTTGTGCCTTGGCGGCAGCATTTGCGCGAGCTTGAGCTTGCTGTGACTGCTGCTGCTGCTGCTGTTGCTGCTGCTGCTGCTGATGCTGATGCTGCTGTTGCTGCATTCTCTGTGACTGTTGGGCATTGAACATTTGAGCTTGTTGGGCCTGTGCCCTCGCCATTGGATTCGAAGCTGAGCGTTGTTCATTCATGTTCATCGCTTGTCCTGGCATGGTAACATTAGGCTGAGGAGTGTTGTTCCTTGGCGCACTGACGGGTACAACAATTTGACCTGCTTCCTGAGCCATCACTCCCGCTTGCTGCTGCTTACCAATAAGGTTTTCCATGTTACCCAGGAAGGAGTTAAAGTCTGGGCCACCGCCCATGGTTACCGGGGGTTGCGATTGGCCATTCATCGGGCTCGGATTCATGGACCTCTGTTGCTGCATGATTGGAGCTGTCGCAGTTGCATTTTGTGGATGCTGAGGAAGGGTGGGCTGTTGTCCTTGAGCAGAACCCTGTCCTTGCCCCATTTGAGGTTGACGGTTACGCCATTTCGAGATAGCTTGCTGTCGATAAAATAGTAAGGCGATGTCTGTCCCACTTGCTTCGTGCTGTTGAATTTGGACTGGAGGGATTCTGCTCCGAATATTTATTCGTAGACCAGCCTTTTCGTGTTCTGACGCTTCGTTCAACATTTTCATTGCTTCTCGATTGACTTCCGTCGCTTCGTTCCCCGTTGGTTGTAATTGTGACTGCCCATTCACAGGTCTACCAGGTCCATGCTGAATCTGATGCGGCATGCCATTCGGTTGCAATTGTGCGTTCTGAGGCATGTTCTGCGGAAGGCGATCGTTCGGCGGGCCGTTTGGCATGGCCTGTGATTGCTGAGGGGGTAATGGTGACGCTTGCATCTGGTGTTGAAGGTGCTGGTAGCCTTGTTGGGGAATTTGGCGGAGAAGGTTTCTCGGCATTTGGCCTTGCAACCCATTTTGATTCATCATCATCATCTGCTGCTGGGCTTGCGCTTGCGTGTTGACTTGTTGTTGAAGGGTTTGCTGGGTTTGTAATCGATTCTGGTGTAATTCACGTTGCTTCTCGTTGATTTTATTCTTATAGGAGGCCTGGTATCGTTAGCTATATACGCTGAATCATTGACATGATTCATCAAATACTTTATCGGGCGACTTTAAAAAACTCTCCAACTCATACTGGACAGCAGCATCGAGCATCTTCGGCATTCCTCCAGGGTGGGGCACATTTTGGGAAACGAGTCGTAAAGAAGCAAAGCTAAGTAGAAGTCAATATGAATTATCAGTGATTATGTACTAAATATAAGGGTTGGGCAGTTGTTGTTACATAGACCACAAGGACTGCGAAACTATGATCATTGAAAATGGCTTACATGTTGAAGATGTATCCCATACGTTCTTGAGCCTGTAATGACGTCTGCCAGCCTTCCGGGGGCGCTCCTTGCGCTTGGAGTTTATGAAATATGGCTTGATTTATTTGCTGGGACATTCCTTGTTGTCGTTGTTGTTGCATTTGCATTTGCTGCTGCATCTGCTGTTGCTGTTGCTGTTGTTGTTGTTGTTGTTGTTGTTGTTGCTGCTGCTGTAGCTGTAGATGTTGCTGCTGTTGCTGCTGCTGATGTTGTTGCTGTTGCTGTTGCTGTTGCTGTTGCTGTAGCTGTTGCTGCTGCTGTTGTTGCTGTTGTTGTTGTTGCTGCTGCTGCTGCTGCTGCTGTTGCTGTGGCACCATCTGGCCCGCGCCACTCATGTGTGGAAAATTTGAGGCCATCTTGGGGTTCAGTATGGCAAAGCCACTCTCCTGCGTAGAGGAGGTCCGAACTGGATTGAATATAGAGCGCCAACCTTAAATTGATCGACGTAACAAATATGATGCGTGTTTATCCAAGTATTGTGAATAGCACGCGGGATTACTTGAGAGAGGTTGTGAAATGGAACCTTTTTGCTTTTGCACCCAGTGAGGGAGGTTGAAAGTTGTATGGATTGCTGACAATAGGCGGCGAGCCGTAAAATGGCTGCAGGCTCCCACAGTTACATTCGAATAGAGCTAGACCTTGTGTTCCATGAGAAATTCTTATTGGAAATGGTGCTTTCGTTTGCGACGCACTCTGAAGTGTACGGGAATCGAAAATTGGGAATGAGATAGGGATTGGCGGAAGGTGAAGAAGGAACGAATAGGTACTTTTGTTCGTCGAAGGATGAGGCTGTAAGAAGAAGAAAAGTAAGGTGAATGAATGTATGTGAGTAAAGGTAGAGATGAGTAGGTGAGGAGAATTAATTTGATCGAGGTTGACTGCCTTCGGGTGCCCTAGAAAGCCAACACATTCGGTGAATGAATGGATTGATTTGATTGAATGGATTGATTGTCGATAGGTTGATTGAGTGAATGGGTAATTTGAATGTCGGATGACGATGCGAGAATCGATTATAAGAGAGTTTTCTCGTTTTGTTCTTCTTTTACACGAAAAAAAAAGAAGTCAAGTTTGTTCTATGATGAAGTAGTTATAGGATTATAATTACTCTCAGTTCATATGAAAGGGTTTTTTTTTTTCGTTGTTCATTAAGAAGAAGTTGTCGAAAGTAGTGTAGGTATGTAGGTATGTATGATGGGTTGTGGGCGTGGGTGGAAGGAGAATGCTAGTGAAATGGCAAGGGCAGAGAAGGTGATACCGCGCTGGGCTGGAAATGACTACGCTAGATTCGATTTCGCCAGGGTATAATAATTTTAATGCTTGTTGTATATTAATAACAAGTTGTTGTTGGAACACCTTCTGTCAGATTGAATTGAAGTACTGTGGTTGATTATGTATAGGAATAAGAAAAGATCAATTTGATATATATATCAAATGAGGAAGAATAATATCTGAAGAGATAATTGCCATCAATAAATGTATGTTGAGGTTAATCATGAAGAAGGGAGGGGGGAGGGGGACAGAAAAGAGTATTGTTACAGGGAGGGATATACCGGTACTGATCTCTCTATAAGCCAAGCCAAGTAAGTGGAGTGAGTTATACAATGATCACCTTAGATTAATCTGTGTATAGTCATCACCTTTTCAGTAATACCTATCTTGGTAGTCAATTATCAATTCAAGGTTTTGTATATAACATTTGAGTTTGTAAAATTTGAGTTTATAACATTTGAGTTTGTTAATTGCAGGTATATACATCCAAATGTTTATTTGAAAATATATAGGTATATTTATAACTATAGTGATCAATATATAAGAAGTAAAAGTCACATCTAAGCGCCTGTTCTTATAATTATGAGGATGGGAATTGAATGAATCCTACAATATAAGACGAGTACATATCTATCTAATAGTGTAAAAAGGATGAATACCATACTACTACTCGAGTAAAGAGTATATCAAGAAGATAATAAGTATCATCAACCTCTTCTCTATAAAATGATATGCGTCTCCTACATGGATTAGAATAAAGTTTATTTACTGACAACTGATAACAAGCTTCGTAACCTACCTATATCGGAGCAAGGTTGATGATATCGGTATATATTGGTATCTGGATATCCACATTTTGTTAATGAAAAACATATCTACTGACCGTTATACCTTCTCTCTTATCTCTTATTACCATTATTTCGAATCTCTTACATCTCTCTTTTCTCCTCTCTCTCTTCTCTCTCTTCTCTCTTTTTCATCTCTCCTCTCTACTGAACCGATGAAACCTCGAGAATCTTCATCCATCGAATCATTCATCTTGTCAAACAAATGAAACTCCATCTGTCAAAGTCCGCTGAAAACACTCAGCCCTAGTTGGACACTTAAAATCCCCATCAGTCAGGCCAATCAGGTAAGAAATTTACGAAGTAGTTTTTCCTTGGAAGATGGATGGCATCCCCGGAGAAATCAATCTTCACATTAATCATGTAGTCATGGGGTCATTCCATTGGATGCTTATTAGAAAAGAAACTGAGGCTGTCCGACTGTTATTCTATAATGATCCGTGACTGGTTAAAATTATAAAAGTATGGAGGGCTTTCCATTGACTCGATCAATATAAATACACTCACTACCGGTACTGTACGTACTCAAAAGGATGAAAAATGAATGAACTCCTTGCTGTGTTGACTTGAGGGGCAATATAGTCAAACATGAAATTATGCACTCCTCTCGTAAATGTTTGAAGCAGATGGAAGTATTGACATGGGCTGAGCTGGAAGGGGGGGGGTTGTCATGATCGCCAAAATACCTAGCAAGGCAAGCAAACATTACCGGTATTACCATAAATCCATTCATCCCATATCGTCTCATATCATGCATCATTCAATATATATCATGAACTTCTTTGTTTGTTTTAATCAATTGATCACAATTCTAATTCCGATTCCAATTCCAATTCCCTCTCATTTCAATTCCTTGAATAATTGACCCCTTCAATTTTATCATCACAAGATACAATATCAAACACATCCTTTCCAAAAAACTCGTTTTTATTACTTACCCAGAGATCCAATATGGAATTCTTAGACCAAATATCGAGATGGCTGCATCTATGGCGCTTCTCTAGTGGCAGGCAATCAATGCCGGGAAATATTAACCTTTTCTTTTGGTGAATATCTACCCCATCGAATTAGTATCTTTTTGCTTTTTGGGCTTGGATTGTTTGTGTCTGCAGGAACAGGGGAAAATAGAGTCTTCATGTCTTCATTTTCTAATAGGGACTTCCTTTTTTCCTTTCTGCTTTATTTACTTTTACTTCTTCATTGGTTCTTATGAAATGATTGATTCATTATATAGTTCAAAAGACTGAGTACAATATAATACAAACATCATACTTCTCAATTATTAGCAAACACGAATCAGTCCTATATAATGTATGAGATAGGTGATAGGTGGGTGATACAACAGGGCAGATCTTCAAATGTATGTAACTGGTGGGGACAACCGGTCACTCATTCCCCATTTATCCATCCAAGGATTTCTGATCTTCATTTTAAATTATTGTTGCCTCACTTCAGGAACTTCTTCGATCCATATTTTAAGGCATTCAATTGTAAGACATCTGCCACTATAGCTGTGGCTGTGGCTGTGGCTAGGTATCAGCGAATAACCCTACCAAGATAAGAAAGTAGCTTAAATTCTCAAGCTCCTAATTGGTATACAACATCACCGGTACATACCCTCGTTTGAGAACTGGTAAGTGCAAGACAGCAACTCCAAGTAACACCTCGGACGAAAAAGAAGTCCCACCTTTCAGATATCTGATCTGGTCTCTCTCTGCAGTGATTCAAAGGAACCCATTTCAATGCTAAAAATACCCTCAACATCAACTCCCTTTTCTATTACTTCTTTTTCTTCAATACATAAAATCAAAGTTTCTATAGTATTCTCTAGATCTTATAGATCCTCCACGTACAAAATGACAAACCAAAATCTCTCAACAACTGAAGCAAAAGCACACGACTTTCTCGACTTCTTGAATGCTTCCCCTGGTCGTAAGGAGCTAAAGTTTTCATTATCATATCATTCTTATCTCTGCAGTTGTACCTAACATCTATTTAGCCTACCATGCAGTACACTCTGCCATTCAACGACTTTCCAAAGCGGGCTTCACAGAGATTAAAGAACGAGATAACTGGTCGACCAGCCTACAACCCGGAGGAAAGTACTATCTTACACGAAATGCTTCTTCGATCGTCGCTTTCGCCATCGGCAAGAAATGGAAGGCCGGTAACCCCATTGCCATGATTGGTGCTCATACAGATTCCCCTACTTTACGTATCAAGCCGGTATCTAAGAAACAAGCATCTGGATTTATACAAGTGGGTGTGGAGACATATGGGGGCGGCATATGGACTTCGTGGTTCGACCGAGATTTGAGTATAGCGGGCAGAGCTATGGTCAAAGATGGTCAGGGCAATTTTGTACAAAAGCTTGTGAAGATCGATCGACCCATTCTCCGTATCCCCACTTTGGCGATCCATCTCAACCGTGCCACCAGCTTCGAGCCGAATAAAGAGACCGAATTGTTCCCTATTGCCGGTCTTGTGGCGGCCGAGTTGAATCGTACAGGAGCAAGTGAGAATGGGCCGACTCCGACTGAAGAAAAGAAGGACTCGGAGGAGTTCCAACCCCTGCAAGCCATGACCACTAGGCATCATCCATACATTGTGGAACTGATTGCAAAGAATGCCGGGGTTAGTATTGATGATGTCGTTGATTTTGAAATGATCTTATATGATACACAAAAAGCTTGTCTGGGTGGGTTGAACAATGAACTCATCTATTCGGGCAGACTGGACAATTTGGGCATGACCTATTGTAGTGTTGAGGGACTTATTGAATCCGTGAAGGATTCTGCGGCTTTAGATGATGAAACATCAATTAGACTCATCACATGTTTCGATCACGAGGAAATTGGCAGCACATCCGCTCAAGGAGCTGCATCAAATCTCCTCCCCGCCGTCCTTCGACGTCTATCCGTCATCCCTGCTTCCACTACAGCCCCAGGCTCATCCTCTTCATACGACATGGTACACCGGGAATCCGATATCGAAATTGCCACCGCCTACGAACAAACCCTCGCATCCTCCTTCCTCATCTCGGCCGACATGGCCCACTCCATCCATCCAAACTACGCCCAAAAATACGAACAAGATCATCGTCCTGAAATGAACAAGGGCACCGTTATTAAGATCAACGCAAATCAACGCTACGCCACTAATTCCCCAGGTATAGTCCTCCTACAAGAAGTCGCGCGTAAAGCCAAACCAAGCGCAGATGACAAGGATGGAAAAAATGGGGTTCCACTTCAATTGTTCGTGGTGAGAAATGATAGTAGTTGTGGTAGTACCATAGGACCAATGTTGAGTGCGGCGTTGGGAACGAGGACGTTGGATCTAGGTAATCCGATGTTGAGTATGCATAGTATTAGGGAGTGTGGGGGTGCGTGGGATGTGGAGTTTGGGGTGAGATTGTTTGAGAGTTTCTTTGAGAATTACTCGGGTTTGGAGGGGAGGATTTTGGTGGATTAGTTTAGATAGGTTTAGATGGGCGTATAGTAGAGTAGAGTTTGGAGGGAGGGAGGGGGGTGGATGTGAGGGTTGAGTTAATTAGTTAAATAGTTAACTTAACTTGGGTGCTTGTTGATGTTGAGAATTTTCTTATAAATGGGGTTTCTTGATTGTGTACACTCTACTGTACTGTACTCGAGTATGTATGTATGTACATTGGTTTTGAATTATAGTTGTTGTAGGAGTAGTAGTAGTAGTAGTAGTAGTAGTAGTAGTAGTAGTAGTAGTAGTAGTAGAAGTAGTAGATTCAAACCATGAATAAATGAGAGGATGAATAAGAGAAATGTTTACTCGAATAGATTTGATCAGGTCTCTTTCCTTTGTCGTTCAGGTCTAATGATTAATTGGGCTTTGGTGAGGTGAAACTGTATTTGAGTAATGGCAGATGGTTATGATGGGTGATGAATGTAGATAGATGGGTAGATAAGATAGATAATAATGAAAACCAAAAAAAGAATTGGGGGGCGGCGGGGGGTGTGAGGTATAGAGAGAGTATAGAGGGGTAGAGAGGGGTAGAGGGGTAGAGGAGTAGTGTATTCAGTTCCTGACTGAGATATTGTTGTGTGTTATGTTGTTATTGGGGTTGGGATTATTGATTGTAATATTGTTATTGATTATGAGATACTACTTACTCAGCTCGAGTATATTACTTGAGTATATTAATTACTTGATATATTTGGTATATAATAGAATGAATGAATAAATGAATGAATGAATGAATGAATAAATATAAAGTTGTATACTGGTATGTTGTTAGTAGTTAATAGTGAATGGTGGATAATGTTGGATAATGTTGGATTGAATTTGAGTGGAGTGGAGTGGATTGGATTGGAGTGGATTGGAGTGGGAATAGTAGAGTATTAAAGGGATAAAGGGATAAAGGGCTAAGGTGCTGAGGTTATGAGGGGTGATGGAGTGGGATGGAGATGGAGATGAGGGGTGATGCGGATGAGGATGAGGATGATGGAGATAAATGGGGATTGAGATAGAGATGAGGGGTGATGGGGGATGGATGGAATGGAATGGAATGGAGATTAAAATCAAGGGCCCCGAGCAGCGTTCTCAAACTTCCCTCCTCTCCTTTCCTTTCTTCTTCTTTCCTTAACTAAAGGAGAAAAAGGAGTTCTTCGACTTAAAGGAGAGGAGAGGAGAAGAGAAGAGAAGAGAGGAGAGGAGAGGAGAGGAGAGGAGAGGAGAGGAGAAGAGATTTATGAAATCGATAGGAATTAGTGGTTTCTCTTTGGTTATAGGAGAGGGGAGGAGGGGAATAGGAGGGAAGGAGGATAGAAGGGAGAGGAGGGGAGTTTGAAATTAAAAGGGGTGAGTTAGGTATTGAATGAATGTGAATCAATGTGAATGATATTGTGTAGATAGTGCTCAGAAGATGGAGATAGAGAAGGAGAAGGAGAAAGAGATGGAGAAGTGAGAGGAGAGAGAGAAGTGAGGGAAGTGGGAAGAGAGCCGTTAGATGTAAATATAAGTATAAAGATAAAAATGAGATGAGAATTTGAGAATGAGAATTTGAGGAGTAAAGATATGAAGATATGAAGATACAAGGATATCAAGATGCCAGCCAGTGTGAGGTTTATTGAAAAAGGGGTGGGGATTTGGCAGTACATGGGAACTTGACAGTGGAAACTTGGAATGAAGATGGAAGACGGAAGACGGGGTAGAGTTTGATGTTTGGTGTTTGGTGTTTGAAGGTGGTGGGTGGTGGGTGGTGGGATGGATATATGGGTACGTGGGGGGGAGGGAGGGATGGAGAGAGAGAGAGAGAGATGGTGGAGGGATGGTGCTATGGTTTGCCGGTAGTAACGGTTGTAACGGTAGTAATGTTTGTTGGGATGATAAGATATGATGGAGCGGAATAGATGGATGGATGGATGGATGGGTGGAAACTGGGGGTGGAAACTGGGGGTGGAGAGATGAAGATGGAGGTGGGCCATCTGTTAAGATTCATAGTTTCATGAAAGTGACAAAAGTATCTAAATTTCACAGTAGAGTGTGGAGAGAGTAGATAAGGAATATAGTACTTTGATATAATAGTTCAATACTTTAGTAATAATTACAGTACGTTATTAGAATAGTATTCAGTGCATCTACATGTATATACAGTAGAATGAAACCCATTTAAGATATACGAGTTTGACTTATTGAAACTATCTCGTCTTCTCTTCTCCTGTGGCTCTAGAGTCTAGAGTAGGTAGTTTTGAAGAATTAATGGTTTTTAAAAAAGAAAATAGTCGGCCTCCACGGCAGTGGCCCCCGGAGGGAAATGAAGGGGAAGGGGGAATGGAGGGGGGAGGGGATAGAGGGAATGTAGGGGAATAGAGGGATTGATAGAGGAGGGTGGAAGGAATAAGTGAAGTTGGATTGAAGTTCTGATTTTCTGGGTGGGAGGTGGATGTGGACTCTGTTGATGTTGATGTTGAGGGATAACTTGTGTTTGAGAGAGATGGGTTATATTATTTGAAGTTGATTTGGCTAGAAAGGCTAATCAATACTATTGTATTATTGATGGATGAGATACAGTAATTGTAAAAGCATTTGGAAGATGAGACGTCATGGTCTAATTTCAGATAGTGATGATGTGGAATATAGATACCATATCTAGATAGATAGATAACATTACAAAGTATATCATCCTGACCAAAATCACCCAATATCAGTGTTCATACTAGTTAAACATGTTAAGGAAATAAAAACTGTCACCAGTCGATCAGACCTCCCTTTCGAAAACTACTTCTACTGGAAAAGAATCCATGACAAAAGTTTTATATGTTGTTAATTTCTAAACAATTCCTAATTCCCACGACCTTCGAATTCTTTACAAGCTCAACCATACCTGTGCTTCTTTCGAGTACATATCCAGATAAAAAAGATGGAGATGGATCACACCCAAAAAGACAGCTCGTCTCTAGACTCTCTACAGTACTCTAAAATATCCTGAGAGAAGTGGAGCTCAAATTGATATATTTATACTCGAGTATTTGTAATCGAACAGGATGTTGCCACAAGTACAAAAATCCTATTCCTCTCGTATGTTTATTTTTGTATATATGTATGTATGGAGTATATCCAGGAGTATGTACGAGTATGCATGCCAACTATACATACATACATACATACATACAATACAAATAGAAGGATATCCACTTGGACCCCTCTTGTTCATTAGGTATACCTGAGTACTTTATAAATAAGATAAGATTGATATGGGGTTGATATAGGGTAGGGATCGAGGAGATATCTCTCTGTGAGTCTGTGTTGATACTACTTGTATAACTCCATGCTGGTCACTGGACTCTGTACTGTAATGATATATTTCTCTGATATCTTTTTCTGTACATTTCATTTATTTCATACTCCTACAGTACCACATAGATATTTACTTATTACTCATTACCCATTCCTCATTCCTCAATTTTTTTGTATTGGGTAGAAATGAAATTACTACTAGTACTGTCGGTCGGTGGGCATTGCAGTTGCAGTACAACTGCAGCTTGCATACAGCGGCTTATTAGGCTCTGAAATTACTTGGCCCTCCCTGGTCGAAGAAGTGGTAAAGTCAGGCTATTCAAATCATTAATTTCTGTCGGGCTTGCAGATTAGGCGTTTTTGGGCTTTGGTTCTTTGGTTGGTGTTTTGAGACATACATGTTGGTGCATGAGGGATGCATGAACGAAATTGAGAGGGATATTGATATTTTGATGGGTAGAGAGTTTGATGAAAGTTTTGTTATTGATATAGTAGATTGAAAGAATGTGTTCATTGTTATGTTATGTTATCAAATGATTAGGAGATTGTCATATTTTGTCTTCCCCTCTTGTGAATATGGAAAGATAAGTTGATAGATAGACAGTGGGGTAAAAAGCATTGATGGGATGGATAGTGGGATAGGATGGGATGAGATGGGATGATGAGATGATGAGATGGGAAAGTGGCAGTTGGTGGCCAAAACAGAAATGACAGGGGGTTTAAAATGCGGGCAGTTTGAAATAAAAAATGGATCTAGAGTTCCTGTATCCATTCATCTACATTTCAATAACTTGAGTATATCCAGTAGTTTATAAATACGTACTCGAGACTCAAGTTATATCATGAACTAGTTTGACGAAGAGGGTGAAAGGGGGGGTACTACGTGGCAGTTTGATGTTTTTGATAGTGATAAGTTTGCCACGATGGATGTTTGATGTTCAATATCTGGTGTTTAGATAGTTATTATGATATTAATATGATATTACACAAATTCATATTGTCTTATCTTTGATAGATGGTATTTTATACTTCTCTCATGTTTGGGATTTTGTATTGAATACGTAGAGAGTAGAGATGATTGTCTACTTTGCTATATTGTGAATATAAATTAATTTATTATCATTATTTAGATTTCAAACAAACTACTTCACTGTTTGTTAACATCTTGTGACACTTTTCATTATTCTGATACTATTCTATTTACTCTTTTGCCGCCAGCAAATTCCCTGTAATTTCATTTTCCACTCATTTTCCCACTCATTCTAACCCATTTTCCCCCTCCCCCAGCATTTCAATCATCTTTTTTTTTTAACCGAATGACTGCACCCATTACAGTATCCGTCATAACTCCACTAAACTTATCCTTGACAAGTTCCCTCTCCTACTTTTACCACAACAACACCAAAACCCCTCTCCTCCTTCATTTTTTTTTAATATACATCAACTCTACAAAATTCATAGAAGTTGTGTAGCAGTTGGAAATATTTGGGATCATCCTTTCTGAACATTAATAAAGTCCTCTGATATTCAGACAATGGCTTCTCAAGGAGAAGATGTTTATGCAACGGTCAGTCATCATGATCAACTGAGAAAGATGGGATGAACTGATAATTTTGTGATAGCTTCTCTTGACCGATACTTACCTTCCAGGTATGTTTTATGACAATATTCTTGTCGGAAATCACTAACTAAAGCTTCATTCAAGGTGCTCTTGTATTGGCACATTCATTACGAGATGCTGGAACTACCAAGAAAATCGCAGTGCTTGTCACTACCGATTCTGTAACCTCTGAGAGTATGATTGAACTTCAGGTAAGTCCCTCTTTCCTAGTACTTTTGAAGCTATTCTCATACCTATTTCTAGAGAAACTTCGACTTTGTAATTCCTGTCGACCGAGTTGTCAATCAGACACCAGCCAACCTTGACCTCATGGGTCGACCAGACCTTCACTCTACCTTTACCAAAATTACACTATGGAAACAAACACAATTCCGAAGAATATGTTACATGGATGCAGATATGGTTGCCCTTCGTGCACCAGATGAGTTATTTGCTCTACCAGACCCATTCTCTGCCGCACCAGATATCGGATGGCCAGACATCTTCAACACTGGTCTCATGGTTCTGAATCCCAATATGGCTGATTACTATGCTTTGGAAGCAATGGCACATCGAGGAATTTCTTTTGATGGAGCTGATCAAGGTTTACTCAACATGCATTTCAAGGATACTTTCAACCGTTTGAGCTTTACTTACAACGTCACCCCATCTGCTCATTACCAGTATCTCCCAGCATTTCAACATTTCCAATCAAGCATTAGTGCCGCACACTTCATCGGAACGGATAAACCATGGAAAGTTGGTAGACAAGCGAGTATTGGAGCCACTCCTTACCATCAGATGATCGGAAGATGGTGGGCAGTTTATGATAAACATTACAAGCAAACTGTAAGCTTGAATCCTTCAGCCATGAAGGAAGCTAATAGTCTTCAGTCGAAAAACGGAGACACCAACGGAAATACTGACGGAGGAGCACCCCTTATTGTGCAATACCTTGTTTTTGGGGAATTCCAGGCCAAGACCCAGGAGGACCATTCCCAAGGAGCCCAACGTGAGATATCCCATTACATTACTGCCATTGATGATGAAAATACTACCACAGCAGAAGAGCCAATCCATGAAACTACAAAACCCATTATGGAATTAGGAGAAGAAGCTTATGATCCCTCAGTACAGGCAAAATTGGACCAATCTCGGAACCGGACAGTCTCATATTCTCCATGGGATGCTAGCAAGTAAGTTTGATGATTGGAGAGAGTAATGACTATCTAACATAATGTAGAGCACCACCACCACAAGGATCTAAACCAGAAGCCTCGGACTTCCCTGGTATCCATTATGAGATGTCCAACGATGTTACTCCATTCAAGGCGCCGAACCGTTACCCTGATCCTCCTAGTAACATGTACTATGAAGTACCCAAAACTCCAAAATACCAAAGACCACCACCAATCTTCCCATGGGAGGCTAACCCACCAATCCCGTCAAGAGTATTCCCTGAAGATAATTATGATGACCCAGCAGTACCAGAAACACCCATTGCCGGTTCGGTAGTGGCAACCACCGAGGATGAAAGAAGCATGCCCGTTACTCCTACAACCCCAACCATCTCAGTTTCTGGAGCTGATCCATGGCAATCTTATGCTAGAGCAAATGCGTGGGATGAGGTTCCCGAAATCGAGCGATACATTGGAAACATGACAAAGAATCGCAAAGGCAACATCCAAGTGCTACAAGGAGACGACTCAGGTATATCACAGATCTCCAGTCCAGGACAACGTAGGCGTGGTATGAGGCTCACAGACTTTCCAACAGAGCTTGAACGGCCTAGTTTACCCGTGACCCCAGCACCATTTAGGACACAATCTAGCTTCTGGGGCGAAGAGAGAGTTGGAGAAGGTGCATTACCTCCTGCGGAAGGAGTTCCAGCACAACAAGATTGGGTAAGCCTCTTTGATGAATTCAATGGAACTTTTGATTCCTTCAAAAGTCTCTTTGATGACCCCAAGAGACTAGCCCTTGGCCCTAGCACCTTGTTTCACGATCTTAAAAGGCTTTTGAATCTTTTCAATACACTATTGGATGATCTTAAAGGATTCTCACTAACACCCGGACAGGACCCAGCAGCGCAACTTGATATGCTTGCTAGGCGTCAATCGGATGTTCTAGCCAATAAAATGGACATACCAACTCGCGAGATTCCTTCGAGACCACTTCCTTATGGATCCGAACCCATTAACCAGGGACCAGGTGGAGCTATTGAGGAACCTTCTTACCATGGACCAGGAGCGGCTTGGGAAAAGGGCGAGGTCTATGCCACAAGAGAGACTCCTTTACTTCCAAATGATGAAGAGAAAGATGTTTTGGAGACTTAGACAAACAGGTCCTAATAAAATTTGCACATCATGTATCCATGTACATTGACGTATATTCGTTTCTACATTATGCATTCTCACCTTTTTATATTCTGCTCTATTTGATTTTCATTTCTCGTTCGAGCATTTTCAAAAAGCATTTTGCTACTAGCCTTTTCAGTCTATGATTGCTTTTTGTCGTTAGCTTTCTCTTGCATCTAATTGTAAATAGAAAGTTTGCAACTCGCATATATCTAAATTTTGGTGATGAGATGGATGATTGCTTCAGGAATTAATTGGTTTTGCTGGGAGGGGGAGGGATGAGATGGGGATGGGGATGGGAAAGTGTAATGTTCAGAGGGTGCTTGTGAATATTGAGTGCTGCGTTAATGGGATAATTGCATAAAAAGTTAATAAAAAGTTGTATGCTGGGTATTGAGTGCTGGGTTGATTGGGTTGAGGGGATGAAAGCGAACGTATCATATTGATTGGGTTGTAATTATGGGTTGTAATTATGGAGCGTAATTATGGAGTGGAGGAGGAGAGGAGGAGCATGTAGAGAATGTATATTTTTTTAAGTTATCTGGGAGATGTTTGATATGATATGATATGATATCATACCCTAGTACTCGAGTATCTTGTTGACAGTTTAATACTTATTGTTATGGATGTTTGTGATGATATGATGAGTAGTGTGGTGGTGGTATAGTGGTGTGATGAATGGATGAATGTGATGAATGTGATGAATGTGAGTTGGCTTGATATTTTGATAAAAAGAGGGGGAGAGGGTAGTGGTGGTAGTGGTGGTAGTGGAGAAGGAGGAGTAGGAGTAGGAAGAGTAGGAAGAGGAAGAGGAGGTGGAGAGGGCGGAGAAAGGTGGGATTGTGGGAATGGGAATGAGAATGGGAATGAGATGTGTGGGTATGGTATAGTATAATTATATTGTTTTGGACTTCTAGAGTATATACTGAGAGTGTGGTTTTATGTAAGATTGAGATGAATGAGTATGTATGAGTATGTAAGATTGAGATGAGAGTGTGAGAGTATGTATGAGTATGTATTAGTATGATGAGAGTATATACGAGTATGATGAATGATAAATGTGCAGTGTACAGAGAGCAATGTGCAATGTGTAGTGTGTAGAAAGCAATGTGCAGTGTACAGAAAACAGAAAGCAGAAAGTAGAAAGGTAGAAAGATGGATTGTGTATTTGTATGGGGTATGGGGTATGGAGTATTGAGAAAAGGGGAGAGAGAGGGGAAAAGAGAGAGAGAGGATGGGGAGGGGGTATGGGGAGAGAGAGAGAAGGGGAAGAAGTATAAAAAGGGGATGGGGAAAGAAAGTGAAAGGAGAGAGAGGGGGGAAGAGAGTATAAAGAGTGGGGAGAGAAAATATAGAAAAAAGGAAGAGGGGGGATATAGAGAGTATAGAGAGGGGAGATAGGGAGAGAGGAAATATAGAAAAAATATAAGAAAAGTGATGAAAAGGATTCGTTAATATAATTGAGTATATTTGAGTATATTTGAGTGTAGTATAGTTAAGTAATATAGTATAATAAGTTTTTGATTTATTGATTTATTGATATTGATCTATTAATCTATTGCTAATTAGTAGCTTGGATGAAATGATTTGGTTTACTCGAGTAATAAGCTATTTTTGATATTAGTCGAGAGTAGTATGTGGGTATGTGGTATGTACCAATAGGTATATGATCATTGATTAGATGAGTAAGAGGTGGAGGAGTTGGTGTTGGAGTGGGTATTGGTGTTTGATTAGATGAGTGGGAGGGAAGAAGTAGGTTGGAGGAGGAGTGGGTGTTGGAGTGGGTGGGAGTGGGTAGGGGCTGGAGTGGGTAGGAGTTGGAAAGTGATGGTGATGGTGATGGTGGCGATGATAGTAGTGAAATGGATTTTTATTTAGATTTAGAGGGGAGGAAGATAGAGGGGATATAGATGGTGTTATTGATGAGTCTGTAGGTATGTATGTATGTATGTATGTATGTATGTATGTATGTATGTATGTATGTATGTATATACTGTACATATATCCTCAGCTCACCCAGACAGATACTTGTCTGATGTTTATATTTAGATGGTTATTAGATGGCAAGAAGTCAGATGTTGGATGGTAAGAGAGGGTATACTAAACTGTTAAAGACTTAAAGACTTGCATTGCAGTACTGGGTGCGCTGGTTGAAATTGTCGAAATTGGTATGTATATATGTATGTATGTATGTGTGTGGAGGAAAACTTCTATGTTATCTTATTGTTGAGGTGAGGATGAGGTGAGAGATAATGACGGGCAGATCGAAGTTGGTATATTTGAAGAGAGTGAGAATTGGGTTCAGGGAATCAGGGGTTGTTAGTATAATGAGAAACTAGAGAAACTAAAGAAACTAGATAAGCTAGAGATTGTAGAAATGTTGAGTAGAGGGTATGTATATATTAATTACATCGAGGTTTGGATTAGTCTAGATTTATCAATATTCTCTTTCTTTTATTAGTAACTTTGATCTTCTTGCTGAAATAATAGATAATGAATAAATCGAATCTAATACATCCAAAAGACTGAAATTGATTTCGATAGTTTAATAGTATAATGAGAAAGTAGAGATTATTAAATATCGAGTGAAGAGTATATATATTACATCGAGATTTCGAAATTTAGTCTGGAAATACCAACATTCATATTTTCCTCCGAGTCCCATCTCTCGCTTGCTTTCCAAGTACTGTATCACAACGCTAACCATCTAATAACCTAACCATCTCTCAGGCTCACCCCCTCCTAAAAATTAAATCAAAGCGCCCTAAACTCCCCCTCCATCTCCACAATCTTCTCCACCGCCCTCTTATACCCCTCTTCCCCCTCCAATCTCTCCACATACTCAAATAATTCCGGATACGCATCTTTCGTCAACCCAGCACGCTGTTTCGCCGCAACAAGCGGGAACGACATGAGGATATCTGCACCGGTAAGATGTGCACCACAGAGATATTTGCCGTTTTGGGGCGAAGATTGGATTTGGGAATTGAGGAAGGAGAAATGGGTGGTGAAGTTTGGAGTTAGGAACGATGAGTGGACTTTGGAGGTTATGAGGTATGTGATGGGGCGGATGAAGAAGGGAAGGGTGGGGGAATTTAGCACTGAGGGGATGGATGTTAGTTGGGTTTTTGGTTTTTTGGGGGAGGAGGGAGGAACTTACTGGACATTATGAGAGCGACGAGCATGAGGGGCATAAGCGAGCCTTCGGCATAATGCATGTAATAGCGGAAACGAAGCCATTCTTCTGTTTCACCGCCGATGGTATTTTTAAGTCCGGCTTTCCAGCGGGTGGGGAGGAGTGTGCTTGTGCTTCCGTGGGCGAAATGGTCGAGGAGGTATCTTCATAGGGTTAGTTGGTTTTTGAGAATATGATGGGTGAGATGGTGAGATGGTGAGATGGAAAGATGGTAAGATGATAAGATAGTGAGAAGTTGTTTGATGACCTCTGTCTTTTGACATAGTATATCATTATTCAAGAACTACCTGAACATCGACAACTCCAAATCAATCAATCACCCTTTCAACCCCCCTACACTCGTCTATCACCATCCTCCTCAAATACCCACCAAATACTGAAACACAAACACAACCAAACCCCAGAAAATCAACAAAACTTACTCCATAATAAAGGCACTCTCGGCCAATACCACCGGTTCCGTCGCTCCCGGAGAAAGAATAGTAAGAACGGGAGATTTCCCTAACGCGTGAATCTTTTTGAGCTCGGGAGGTGCGAGTTTGGAGGGTTGACGGTGGAGTATCTCGAGTTCGTAGGGAATGTGGAGTTCTTCTAGGAGCCAGAGGACTCGTTGGGAGCGGGATTGGTTGAGCCTAGAGGGAGAGGAAGAGGGGAAGGGGTTAGTTGGAGGGATTGGAGGTGGATGAATAGATATGGATGGAGGGGGTGGTGTAAATTAAAGTGAGGTCATCTACCAGTAGAGTTTGATCTTTGGTTGATCTGATGAAGGAGTTATGGAAGCCATGGCTACTGTAGTAGGAATTGCAATGAATATGATAGTGATCTGATATACGAGTAGTAAAACTATAGTTGTATATTCAAAATATAATCGATTTTGACAAACACACACAAAGGAAATAATTTTAAACTCTCTCATTCCCTCATCATCCTATACATCCCACAAACAGGTTTAACCAGCCTAGCTATGAGTAGCTAACCGCAACCCACCTCGGCACCATCGTACCGCACCATTCGGCATGTCAGATTTTCAGATGCAAATCTCACCCACCCTTGCATCAATCCAATCAATTCGGATCGGATCGGCAAAACCTATCTCCGACATCTAGCTTCAACATCGCGAACCTCAATTCCCGACTTGTGATTTGATACAAGAAAGTGAACGTGAACAGCACAAGTGCTTTTACACTCGCAATATCATATTCATCATGGCGGGACATAATCATAGTTTGTATTCCTCAATTATTTTGTGATGGGACTGGAAACTGATGGCATATAGCACTCGCGATGGACCCCGCGTTGGTCAAATATAGTAGTATGTACTATCCTATCCATCCACCCATATATATCATACCGTACCATACAACACCATACCATACCGTTCGCATACATGATATGATGATTATTATCGAAGCGGGGGAGTAAGGAAGGATAGACGGAAAGCTAATGCGCAATAGACATGTTTACAAATCGACACAAGTACTTTCGATGGACAGGCCGAACTGCGGCTGTTACGTTTTTGTTTGCAGCGGTGATCCCGAGTATACTTGGGGTTGTGGCTATCAAGACTGAGGTATGATTTTATTTATATGCGAAGTTTTGAACTGCGGAGTGTGGGATGGGATGGGATGGGGATTCAAGAGCTAATTTGGGATAGGGAAAATTCATATTGAGGGGAAAGCGTAGGGGTGATACTATTTCGGAATTTTAGATGGGAAGGAAGGGGATGAGGGCGAGTGGAGAATATAGAGAAATAGGGGCGAGTGATGAATGGAGAAATTGGACCGGAACGAATGGACAAGCTGTACATATGCTGGGGAAAGATATCATGGAAGTCTTTATGGGTGAATTGAATTCTTTGAAATTGAGTTTGCAGTCATTATTATGATCTAGCATGTCTTCATAATCTTGGTATTGATATTTCTTTGGTTTGGTAATTACCGATATAAATAACTTTTGTGGGTTTGGCCTAATACGCTTCTAAATTGGGACCAATCCCCCCCTCTCCCCCATCTGTTGTTGCTCCTGCAGTCAGAATTCTACAGAGTTGAGATCAAATCAAAAAGAAGTGTTCCATTCGCGTTCCAGTAAATCGCGAAGAATCGAGCAAAATGTTTCAAGTATAGCCTTCCAAGAAACACCAACGCTGTTATTCGTAGTAGCGTGATAATTGGTATCATATGTCGCCCCCCTCACCATCGACCCCTTCCACCTCCAAAACCCCCTCCTCCACCTCCTCCACCTCCACCTCCACCTCCACCTCCACTTCCACTTCCACCTCCACCTCCACTTCCATATCCACGACCTCTTCCTCCAGACGGACCATCTGGTACTTTTTCTCCTCTCCTCCATTCTCCACTTGGGACACCACCCGCTCCAAGGCCTGGACCCATACCTTGACCAAACCCACCTCCTCTTGAACCCCCTCTCCCCCTATATCCACCCCCAAACCCATTTTCATGCGATCCCATCCCCCCTCTACCACCAAACCCACCCATTTCAGACCTTCCCCCCGTGAACCCTCCTCTCGATGGACCACTAGGTGGCGGCGCAACTCCCCCATCTGCCATCGGTGGTAATATCGCACAGCAAACATAATCGCCTATAACAAATCTCGCATCCTGTAATGTCTTCTCCGGTTCCCCCATCAATCCTCCAGCCATGACACCTCCCGCAACAATCGCAGACTCCTCCTCATCTGGCAAAATCCCCGGTCCACCATCCCCAATCACTATACTTCCAAGTTCCTTCGTTATATATCTCGCAGGCCCGTTAACAGCAGGTCGTGTGTCGGGAAATATAAGACGGAAAGAAATACGAGTACCGATCGCCGGATCGGGTAGAAGATCGGGGAGCGCGCTGGCTAGTAAATGTGATAATTCGCGAAGTGTACATGATTGCCATGTGGATATATCAACATGGAGGGGTAATTCCCCATGCGGACTAAATTCCTCGAGTCTAGATTCACATTAATAAATTACTCGAGGGAGAAGGCTGAGAAATTTATTTACCTACCTATGGAATCCATCACTTTTATAGAAAAGCTTTAAATGAAATGGAACGGTGGTGTTGCGATCGATTTTGGGCAGGGTAGTTGTTGCCATAATTTAATTATTCACTGGAATAATTATTGTTCATGAGAGAGAGGTATGAAGGTGTTGATATATATCTGGATGTGAAGAAGTTCTCGAGGCAGAATCGAGGCCTCGTCAAAAAATTGTTCAGCCTCGGGTCGGCAGGAACATCTTCTAGATTAACAACGATTCAACCTTTCAATTAAATCTTATCTATAACTTTCGAGAAGATAGAGCTACTCGAGTATAGAGTATATGCTCATAATAATCATAAACTCCTCACTCAAATAACATAAACATAATCTCCTCCGGCGCGAATCGCAACCACCATCATGGATTTCGCATCTCTCATGTCCAAAGAAATATCCAAAAAGAGCGATGCCTCCACCGATACATCCAAGAAGTATATGAAACGCTCTGAAATTGAAGCAGAACGTCAAGCCAAATATCAAGCCGACCAACGCGCCATCGAAGCCGACCGCGAAGCCAAATTCGCACAAAAGCGCAAACGCGAAGACGAGGAGGAAGAAGCCAATAAGGCGCGCGAAGAGAAACGAAAAAGATTAGCTGAAGAATCGAGGAAACAGAGGGAGGAAAGAGAGGTGGAGGAAGAGAGGAAGAGGAGGAAGAGATTGGGGTTACCGGAGTTGAAACGGGAGGAAAGTGTGGAGGTGGAGGAGGATGATATTGAGGATGGGGAATTGGTGAAGAAACTAAGGGAGATGGGACATCCTGCGAAATTGTTTGCGGAAAGCCATAGGCAGCGATTAAGGCGGTTTAGGAAATTGGGGGTGGTGATGACGAACGGACCGATTCCGACGACGTTGGTGCTGGTCGAGGAGAAGGATATGAAGGTTGAGACTTTACCGAAGGATGAAGAGGGAAGGAAATACTTGTTTAGACAGTTGGCGAGTTATTTCACCATGGTTTTGGGGGAGTGGGAACGAGCGCTGGAGAAGGAGAAGAGGGATACGTTTGCTAGTAAGGCGGCTTATAACGCTATGGTTCAGAGTAAAGATAATATGACTCCTGTAAGTTTTACATTGCATGCAGCGTTAGGCTCTAGTATTATGAACTGACACGGTATAGTTATTCCGCAAATTCGAAAAAGCAGATCTAGATGAAGGGATTTTAGAACCCATAGTCGAAATCGTCAAAGCAGCACAGGAGAAACGCTACGTCGATGCAAATGATGGGTATCTACGCCTCAGTATTGGAAAAGCGGCTTGGCCAATCGGTGTTACGATGGTGGGTATTCACGAGCGTAGTGCGCGCGAGAAATTGCATGAGAGTGATAAGGGACATGTGATGGGAGATGAGATCACGAGAAAGTTTTTGCAGAGTGTTAAGAGATGTCTTAGTTTTGCTCAAGTTAGATGGCCTCCGGAGGATATTGGGCAGTTGATGGGTTGAGTGAGTATCAGTGAGGAATGTTGTTGTTTAATTTTCATTCAAGCCCATTTTCTTTCTGTGTTATTTCTTGGAACACAAGGGTTTATGTGTGTTAAATTCAAGGACGTTGAATCTGCGGACGTTTAGTCCACCTTTTGCCACAAAGTGTTTTTCGAGCAAGGGTCTGCTTTCGACTCCTGAGGATTTTAGACTGGGATATGCGTCACTCCCGGCTTTGCGGCAAGTCTTGGAGATAATAAGGCTGGGGTAAAGAGATACCACTGCTGAAACACAAGATATGGTATTGACTTGAAGTACAATAGCATTGTTGTTCAGCAATGTTTGTTAAAATTTGGAAGTGACTAGAAACCGGGTCAAACGAGGGACAGAGGGGGAATCTCGTTGTCGGTATGGATGCCAGTGAGAGAATTTATCGGAGGACATGCCTCAGGACATGGGTATTGCATCCTTTTTGGAGAATGGAGGTTTTATGTTCGAGTCTATATTGACATTGACAATAACTGGGAAGAACAAGATATCTCAGTTCGATATTCCAAGAGGAATCCTGAGTACCAGCGAATAGTAATAGTCTTTGATAATGATCAATTCTAGATGTCATATATCGCATAGTCTCTACTGTAGATCTGCCAGGGAAAAGATCGCAGATACTCATATGTACATACTACTTACTGTATCATTCTAGTTTATGTCTTTCTTTGATTTGAACACCGCAAAACTTCCAAATTATATCAATGTAATTTCTATCTATCATACCAATTCCTCTCCCACCCCTTTGATTTGTTCCTAAGAGCAGCGTTTTACTCAGGGGGTTAGGAATTCATGTTAACGCATATCTGAGATTATGCAAAGGGCGAGCATACCTAGAATAGGAGCTTCAAGTCATACATTTGGCAACCTTGCACTCACTGTCAGCATCTCAGTCAGTCAACAAATAGGCGAGGAGAGTGTATGATTTGATGTACACTCCCGTGATTGGATATCGACTTTGACTTGATGAATCAAGGTACGTACGTGTCTAGGGTATTTCAAATGAGAAGTATTATTAACCTAGTTTGATCGGGACTATTAACATTTAGAGGTATTATAAGGTGACATTCACCAGTGAGTATTTTTTGAACAATAGTATATTAGTAGCTAGCCGATCTGATATGCAGCACAACTATCCTGAGTATAATGTGTATTTTCAATAGCCAGGATTACTGTATATATCATTTCGCCAAAGAGAGTCAAGTTGAACGACTGTAGATAATCAAAGTGAATTGAGATATTGATTGGATTCATGAGTCATGACACAAATTCACCTCATATGTCAAATCAAAATATCAGATGATTACCCGTTAGACCTTTTTATTTTTTTGTTGCACGTCTGCAAATGTATTGCAAATGTACAGCGAAATGTTCTGCGCTGTTTTAAGTGGTCTAGCTCTTGGTTTGATATGCGGCTAGGTGTGTGGGTAGGTGAGGTGAATATTATGCTAGTAATGGAGAGCTAGAGATCAGATGATTACTTGTTAGACCTTTTTAATTTTTTTGTTGCACGTCTGCAAATGTATTGCAAATGTACAGCCAGATGCACTGCGCTGTTTTAAGTGGTCTAGCTGTTGGTTTGATCTGTATGATATATATAGAGGTGGCTGGCTGGGTGGGTGAGGTGGATATTATGCCAATGGAGAGCTAGAGCTAGAGCTAGAGCTAGATTGACTGGGAATGTGTTATTATTTTTGTAGATGTACAACAGAAGATAAAAGATGGAAAGATATGGGAGGATTGTTATCCGAATATATTGGGATGAATTTTACTGTATCTATGAACACTTCGGGAATGAGTAGTATGTGCAACGAAAAGTGAGAATCCTAGAGAGCAATCGTCTGAAAATCGAAAGAGACTTTGTATTGTTTCACAGTATTACTGCAAGGTATTTATTAGAGGTGGGATAATATGAACATGCAGAATCTTTTTACTGTAGTAAATCAGCTTCGGCGTAGCGAATTACTACTATCTGAAGATATTTAAAGTTTTCTTCGCAATGCTTGATTAATCATAGATTCTGCTTTTCTATATCGTAGCGAGTATATAGAGTATAGAATATACACTGGTGTTAATAGCCTGGTTATCCAGAAGTTGACTATTTGTCGAATTGACTACTCGTAGGTTAATGTGGTAGCTCTTTTTGTAGAGATACGATATCGAAGAATCGAAGAGTGAATATATTAACCATAGTCCATCCGAGTCCATCGGTAGCTTAAGATTTGGTTGCATATCTATAAAGGGATGTATCATTGTATATATGACTATATCATATCCGAGATTAAGTGGTTGCTCTGGGGGACAGACAGTAGATATTTTTGTATATGTGCAGTCTAATGAATGATGGCTGGAGTGAATCTTTGTGCGAATATATGGGATAAAGTGAATTTGGTCTGTATATCTAGATATTCACTGTTAGTGTGTATTGGAAAGACCTGATGAGTAATCCGTCTACCGAGAGAATAGTAACCGAGTAGTTGTCAACAGATTACTATCTATGGTTGGGGTCTAAAATGTATCTCGATACTATATAATGTAGAATAGGAGATGCTCATCGGATTCAAAAAATGAGGAATGTATGACATTATTACATGGCATTGTACTCTTGATACATCCATTTTGACTAGACCGACTTCATGAAAGGACTTTCGTTCCGACAGGCAAGCAACAGAAATTGGCACAAAAATAACTTGGAAGATTATTCGTCAACACTAATTCAGGAAATTATCAAAGTTCCTCTTCCGAGTCTGGTCATCAAATAAAGAATCTCTTTGTGCTTCATTGAACAGGTCTCAAACATGTTTCAGAAATGAGATGTGCAAAAAAATTGGATTTGAACCATTTTCTTTGTTTGGGGGGATGATTCAAGGAGAGTTTGCGGGTACCTTTCGAAGGATTTTCTAAAATACAAGCGAGGTTCCACGCCGTTCGCTAAACAGTGAGGAAGCGAAGGTTCTTTGTTGAAGACCCAGTGACTTCTCCTCGAATAAACACTTGATTGGCCGATAAAAGTTACTCAGTCAAAGGACTGTGAGTATTCGAATTTTGTTGCAGGTCTGAAATTGAGCGCGAGTTCATGGAACATGCGAAGTTTACTATGGCTTTTAGGGAAGGAGAAAGGTCTTTGAACATTCCATTAGATGCTAGTGAACCAGTGATTTCTCCGCTAAACGTATCATACAGACCTTTATTGGTTAATTGACTTATGTTGAACAAAAGATTGTAAGTTGAGAAAGTTTTGTTGCATGTCTGAAATCGAGGGTAGGTTTATAAACCTAAACCTACAGATATGCTGTCTAGATCATTCTGAAGCAAATCAATCACTCGCCTAAAGTCTAAGAGCCGAGGGTTTTGGAAAGAAATGCTTGTTACATGGCCATTTGACTTATTCGCATAAGTGCATCCGCCTTGCGGTTGTTAATGAGCGCATGATGCTATGTATCTCGAAGTGTAATGTCATTGACACTGATAAAATGAGAGAATCAACTAAACACACAAGAGTTTACTCCAAAGCATCCGTAGCTGTTGGTTGTGTATCCGAAGTACTTGATTATCAAGCTGGGATGATGGAAATCTATATGGGGTGTTCTTGTTACATATCCTGAAGAGAAAGGTTGCTTATAGCTTCTTTGAAATTTTGAGCACATAAAATTGGAACCAAAAGGCGTAGAACTTAAAGGGTTGAAAGAGTGAAGACAGCTCAATTGAGAGATCCAAGTATATATGCCTTCTGAAAGATAGGTATGCCCGTACTTTCGCTACATGAGGAGACAAGCTCTGGATTGCTGTTGATAATATTGCCGTGACCAGACGCGTACTAGAGTGAAGGCGGAAGCTCCCCTTAGATTTGAAAGACTAGCTAGCCGCTGCAGTAAAGTTTCTCGAGCTTTTGAACGTGTCAGTCCTGAATTAGAGCCTGTAAATGGTGTTTATCTCATCTGTGAGGTTGAAGGTAGTTAGTCGCGTTCTCGGCATACCTTCGGTTATCCCCGCGTCAACCCGGCACAAAAATCAAAACAGCATACCGTAAATGAGTATATATACTCACATACGCAATATCAGGCATAAAATAACCAGGCACTTTGGCGGAGTGGTTAACGCGATGCCCTGCTACTGTATAAAACAGAGTCAGGCATTTCCCTCGGGAGCGTGTGTTCGAATCACACAGGTGTCGTATTGTTTTTGCCATTTTCGAGGTCGAAAAGTGTAACTTTTGTTATGATCCTCCTTACAGGCTTACAGGACTGGTAAAGTTGTTCCTCTGATTTTTTTTGGCTCATTTTTTAGATTCTGTCATTGTGGCACAGATGTTATGAGTGGCGTGGCGTACTTATGATGTGTGAATGCCCAAGCATTAAGGCTAGAAGGAAGCTCACTAGCGTCGGCCATATCTGAGATGGCCAAATCCATCCACGTATCTATGAACTTTCAATATCAAATTCAACCCATCTGACTCTCATCCATCCACCACTATTTTCGAGAATCCTTTAACACCGAATCCGATAATACAAGTTAACATCATACACAATGTGGCTTCTTGATTGGTGTATGTATCAATTCAGAATAGAATCGGGCAATGGTTCGCAATATGACAGCTTGCTAATATTTATTTCCTCGAATAGTTTGGGATACTCTTGCGTCCTTGGGACTTTTGAACAAGCATGCAAAACTTCTATTTCTTGGTCTCGATAATGCAGGAAAGACAACACTGTTACACATGTTGAAGGTGCGTTGAAGAAATCAGCTTAGGAGGATGCTCTGGCAAGGAGAACGATAACTTGCTTCTGGCATACTGGGAATAGAGGGCAATTGCTGATACATATTTTCTTTTAGAATGACCGAGTTGCTATCCTCCAACCTACTCTTCATCCTAGTAAGCAATTACACATCCCGCACATTGGCGCAAATCACACATAGTCATTTACTGATCATGCGACAGCATCCGAAGAACTTGCTATTGGCAACGTCAAATTCACAACTTTCGATTTGGGTGGACATCAACAGGGTATTTATTCTTGGAATGCTGGAATGGTAAACATCAGGCTAACGCGCCTTTAGCTCGTCGTCTCTGGAAGGATTATTTCCCAGAAGTCTCCGGTATCGTTTTCTTAGTCGACTCCAAAGATCATGAACGTTTCCTCGAATCAAAAGCCGAACTCGATGCCCTCTTGTCAATGGAGGATCTTTCCAAAGTACCTTTCCTTATTCTCGGAAATAAGATCGATCACCCAGATGCCATCAGTGAGGATCAATTAAGACACGAATTGGGATTATATCAAACTACTGGAAAGGGCAAGGTTCCTCTTGAGGGTATCAGACCTATTGAAGTCTTCATGTGCTCTGTGGTTATGAGACAAGGTACGTTCTTTTGGGTTGTGAAGATTATTACGGGCTATACTAATGGTGGATGTAGGTTACGGTGAAGGTATTAGATGGTTATCGCAATATGTCTAAATAATGGTGAGAAAGTGATCGGGGGGGGCATATGGGTTGAAGGGGATGATTTTTAATGGAGATCTGTTATGATGGACGGAGTTATGCAAATTGTCGTTTTTCAATGCTTTTTGGTAGGTTCTGGGAGCTCTTATGGGAGTTTTCACTCCAGGAACCGAAGCGGCCAACATATTTGTACCAGCATAGTATCGCGATCAAGACTTTTATCTCTCTCTCACAACACAAACATCATGTTCTTCGTGTATCTGAGCTTTCTGGATGTGCAACCCTTAAACAGATAAGAGGTAGAGAGGTCTTTGGGGAACCGAGGCATTGGTGATTACCATCCTTTTTAGAGTAGATGTATGGAATCATATGGTATTTGTGAATGAGGCAGTGTTGTTGGTATTGCATAATAAGTATTTCTCAAGCTTCGTAAATTCTCCTGGTGACTTGGCTTCTTGACTTTCTTGTGAAATACATTCTCGGTACTTGTAGCAATTTGGAGGTTAGAACTTAGAAGGTACTAACTACTGTAACTATCTAGTAATAACCTTATATCTACGTCATAATTATTTTCGGATGCGAAACTCACTCCAACATGATGATTCAACATAACTCAAGTATTCCCCCACACTTTTTTCCATAATAGCCATAACTCCGTTCAAATATCCGATTAAATACAAAAAGCCCCATACTTAATGCATATGTAATGCAAGAAGATATTCAGAGTTCCTATCTTCTCCTGAATACATAACCAATAATACGACAATAACGAAACATATGGCAGATCTCCGTCACCAAACAGACGGTCCATCGCCGCTTTCCGCAAAAGGCTACGATGAATCACTTCTTCCCGATTTCCACCGCGAATTCTTGTCCGAAGAACATCTTCAAGCATTTTCCAATGCGCTGAGCGCGCCAGATCCAAGTCCTAGTACCGATGATTTGTCAACATATTCGCAAGCCCAGAGTCCGAGAGAACCATCTACACCACATCGCAGCAGCCTAGACATACGGAGAAATAGTAAAGTTACACTTGGTAGTGGAATCAATACATCGGGAGATAGGGGAAGCTTGTTTATTACTGCGCAGAATGATTGGGCTCCGGTAAATCCTACGAGGTTAGGAAGGGGGAAAAGGAAAGGAGAGAAGAAAAAGGCGGGTAGGAAACCAAGGAGGAGTCAAGATGAGACGAGAGAGGGATATTTATACTCGATTTTGAAATGGCCTTTACTGGGGGTGGTTTCAATGTGGATTGGGGGGTTAGGATTGTCGTATTTGGTGACGAGATTGTATGTTTGGACATATGAGCATTTTATTGCGGTAAGTCGTTCTGGTTACAGTGTTTATACGACGGGGTGGATACATGCTGCAAGATGGATGTGAGGGAGATCCATACATCTGCGGCGTATCATATCTAAATTTCGGAGTTTACTTTCAGATGTATGTACTGACTTTTTGGTTTCACAGTGGAGGGGCAAACGAAATCGACTCCGAGAACAACTACACAGTACCACGAACTACGGCGATTGGGTTAAAGAAGCACAAAAATTAGATACGTTTCTAGGAAACGACAAGTGGAAAGCCGAGGACGAATATGCATACTATGATTCCAAAACAGTACGAAGAGTTTTAGAACAGATTCGAAGATGCAGACGAAAAATCGAGCAAGAGGAACGAGCAGGAAACTCGTCTAATGGAAGTGCTACGACAAAGGCGAAGGCAGTTGAAGACTTAAAGGCACTAATCGAGGCATGCGTAAAGAATAATTTTGTGGGAGTGGAAAATTCGAGATTATACTCCCAAACTTATTACGGGACGAAGAATCTGGTACAGGAGTTCATTGATGAAGGTAAAATTGAAATTTTGCGCCCTTTTATTGTCTATCATACTGATTGACCAAATTAGTCGAGAGAGGTGTTTCAATCCTGGCAAAATCAGATCAACTTCAAGATGAGGAAAAGCGTAGACTTTTCAAACGAATGCACACGAATTTTGGTCGCACAGCACTCTGTCTGTCTGGTGGAGCATCCTTTGCATATTATCATTTTGGAGTCGTCAAAGCATTGTTGGATGCAAACCTTCTACCCGAAGTGATTACAGGAACTTCAGGAGGTGCTCTAGTGGCTGCTTTAGTCGCCACAAGAACAAATGACGAATTAAAGGCATTACTCGTACCAGCTCTGGCCGGAAAAATCAGTGCCTGCTCAGAGCCGTTCACTACTTGGATACCTAGATGGTGGAAGTCAGGAGCTAGGTTTGATTCGGTAGAATGGGCTCGACGATGTAGTTGGTTTACAAGAGGTAGTATGACTTTTCGTGAAGCATACGAACGAACTGGCCGGATTCTCAACGTCTCATGCGTCCCTGCCGATCCTCATAGCCCTACCATCTTGACGAATTATCTTACAAGTCCTGACTGTGTTATTTGGTCAGCGGTTCTTGCTTCAGCAGCTGTTCCTGGTATCTTGAACCCTGTAGTTCTCATGATGAAGCAGCGAGATGGTACTCTTGCGCCCTATTCATTCGGTCACAAATGGAAGGATGGTAGTCTACGAACTGACATTCCACTCAAAGCATTGAACTTACATTTCAATGTCAATTTTAGCATTGTCTCTCAAGTTAATCCTCACATCAACCTCTTTTTCTTCTCGTCGCGAGGTTCAGTCGGGCAACCCGTCACTCATAGACGTGGTAGAGGTTGGAGAGGCGGATTTCTTGGGAGCGCTACTGAACAATATCTCAAACTCGATCTCAAAAAATGGTTGAAAGTAGTACGCCATCTTGAGTTACTACCCCGTCCCTTGGGTCAAGATTGGAGTGAAATATGGCTTCAGCAATTCTCGGGCACCATTACCATCTGGCCACGATCAGTCATCTCGGACTTTTGGAACATCCTCAGTGATCCAAATCCCAAACAGTTAGGAAGAATGCTTCACGTGGGTCAGCAGAGTGTATTCCCTAAATTAATGTTTATAGCCAATCGATTGAAAGTCGAGAGGAATATTGAGGCAGGAAGACGAGCCACGAGACAAGGCGTGAGAAGAGGTAGCATCGAGAGTATTTTGAGCGCAGAAGATATGAGAAGTCTGCTGCTAGGAAGTGGGACGGGGAGCGAAGCTGAAGGAGAGACGGCTACACAGTCAGATGATGAAATGACGGATGGTGTGGTGACGTCTGAAGATGAATTTGATGGTCTTAGTTTGAAGATGGGTGAAAAGGATTCTTTGCCTTTGATTAATGGAGGAGAGAAGGAAGAGTAATTATTGTGATTTTGTGATTTTGGTTCGGGAAGCGAGTTTATACCATATCGGGAAATATAGTCTTAGGTTGTGATTTAGGTTTATATCAATACATCGAATAGGGAATGGGAATGGGAATGGGCATAGTTAGGTTAGGCTAGGACAATAGCTTAGATACTCAAATCGATTTATCAATCATCTATTTCAATTTGAGATCAGTCTGATATTTCTTTTGGCTGTTGTTATATTGTGGGTTTATGACATGATATGTTTATGATATGATACGATACGATATTATATGATATTCAAAAGCAGGTAGGTAGGTAGGTAGGTAGCTGGATGAATCAAATTAATGAATGTAATGGTTAATTAGTACTTGTCTATAATTATGTGTAGTTTGGCGATTATTGATTATTGATAGAAGTTAATTTACTTTTTACTTTATGTCTTAGGAGTTAGTATATACTAGGTAGTGTATGTGTATGTGTATAATTGAGTATTATAAACTTTTGAAATCATCCTCTTTTTGAAATTCGGAGATCTATTGTATATGTATGTATGTATGTATAGCTTGAAAGTTGAGACTTGGAGTGGTATCTATATTCATATACTCAGTATACACTACTATATACTCGAGTGATATATGAGTATATGTTCACGTATATATACATTACTATATACTCGAGTATATTCATCTTAGACCCTTGATAATATTTATATTCATATCCTACGAGTATAATACAATAAGTTGTAATATTGATATATTTTATTAGAATTTAGAACCCGTATTCTCTTCCTTGTGTCAAATTGTCGGAAAATAATTATTGAGAATTTGGGTTTTGGAATACTCAAGTACTAGTAGCTAGGTATTATTATCACTTGAATTGGATTGGATTGGAGTGGATTGGAAATTAAACTTAATTACAATATACAATTTACAAATGAGGGAGTGAGGGAAGGTTGAACTGATGCTGATGTTAATTTATGAAGAAGAAACCGTGTGTGAAATTGTGAATCGTAGAATCATGGAATTATGTCGAGTATACGAGTAGAGATGCGAGTACACATTTTATCTCCTATTTTCATTATACCCTATGATCCACATTTCCTTCCGTGGGTTTCACAAATATTTTCATAAACACTCACTCACATGGGCTATGGCTTTCTTTTTATAGGACATTTTGAATTTCCTGTATACCTGTGAGCTATAATCGATGGTTGGTTCATAAGATGTGCTGCTGTATATTAGGTGTATGATAATTATATTCCCCTTTTTACTCTTCTCGCTTAATATTCCTTCTTTTAATATATGAATACTTATTTATTCTCTCTCTCCTTTATAAATATTATCTATACAATTACGCACATTATATTATCACGGGAAAATGTAGCTCGGTTTAGTTAATTTAATATTATGGTTTAAATTTATATCTATATAAGTACGATATATGCCAGTGGGGTTTGAGGATTACTGGTACAGTTAGTTACTCATTACTTCAATTGTTTTCATTTCCTGTAATCTTTATACTGTTATATAATATTGTCAGAAGTGTATGTAGATTATATTCAGGTACAAAATCTAAGCTATGTTATTGAGTGTATAAGTAAACAAGATATATGCTAATAATGAATACAGAAGAGAAACAGTGCCATAATACTCATAATACCCATGACTTTCTAATATCCTCCCTATAATCAAAACCTTGATTATTCTGAAGTATATGTTACAAAGTAATCTTTTCATATGAAATTGACCAAATTAACCAAATTAACCAAATAAATTGATCAAATTGACTAAATTGACCAAATTGAAAATTAACCAAATTGACCAAATAAATTGATCAAATTGACCACAACTTTCAATCTAATTGTTAAAGCTTTATTAACTTTTGCAATAATCTATAACCCTGCTATTATTATAATATCTAATCTTCTATAGAGTTCAATTATCCTATGATTGAATTTATTATATTGCAGTACAAGAGTACTCTTACTTTTCTTCAAAATCCAAATCTAATCCCAAACTGTGGATACAAAATGCTGGATAGATAAGTTGTTTTATGAATATATCTGTTATTTGTTCTATTTCTGGGATTTGCATTATATATATTCACTTTGTATTAATTATATCTTTATGAATATAGTGTCATCTGGTTTGAATATACTTTGCCTTGCTGTAAAACTTATTTTTGTTTATTCAACCCACTCTGCTTTCATTA